CAAGCGCGCGGCGATCACAAGGCAACGTAATATTACGTCGTTCAACACAAGAGTAAACATGCGTAAAATAAGCGATCACAACCACGGCAATATTACCTGGTCGCCGTCCGCACACAGTGGAAACATGCGCAGCACGTAATAATTACGTGCTACGTCAAGTCTAGCCAAGTGTTAATACAGTCGCCCCGACCTACAAGCCCATATCGACTAACTATATTCAACTTTTGAGTTCGTATCATCACCCAGTAGTTTCCTACATACATAGCAATAACACATTTGGTGTGTGTGCGTTGCGTGCGTGCGTGGTGTGTCTGTATTGCACTGTGTACTTTGCCAACCAATGGTTGTTAATGTGTTACGTGTAAGCATGATTCTACATGTATTTGTATTGACATCTCAACCATAAAAAAAAACATGTGCAACAACTAAACTCTCCATATCACACCTTACACATAACACTACTGTAGCCTACTGGTAACACATGCATCACAGTCACTAAGCCCGCGTGTAGCGCGGGTTTCAGCTAGTATAGATAAATAAGTCAACAGTGATATATAGATATATATATATTAGCAGGAGTGAATAAACAATTTTTATTTTTATTTTCATTCCTGATATAAACTTCAGTATATTAAATTGTCTCAAGGCACTCTCCAATGGACTTATGCGTTGATACGGGACAAAAACTGAAATGCATAATGGAAGCTATACGTATCAATAAAAAGTATGATCCACCAGGCACATTAATCACTAGGAATGTTTTTAAGTGCGTTTGTTGGCTATATCTCCTGCATAGGATACATCCATCATTCAGGATATATTCTCGTCTAGGACGAATCCACTTATTTTTTCATTCGTGTGATGGAGATACGGAATCGGTCGGGTGTGATGCAACCTTCTGTAAGCGCCGTGCACTCGTAGGTGTGTATAGGGTACGGCGTTGATGGCTGCCCACATAACAGTAGCTTTATTTATTTTAATCACGTTGTTTGATATACATAGAGCGAGACGATATCATTGATTATTTCTGTTTGACCATCGCGATGCCGTCCAAGTGCCGACAAGTTTGTTTATAGATGGGTTTCCTTACCCACAAACATAAGTCTCTCGTGAATGCAAGGACCGTGGGAGCCAGACTAAACCATAATGATGCGAAGTGTCGTTTGCGGTTGTATATAGCTAGCTATTCATTATTAACTATAGAGCACATAATTATATGTAAACTCTGTCTTTACCTAAACTGTTCGTGCGCGATTCCCCTCTGTCACTGTTGCTTTCAATTGACACAGTTTCGTTGTTAAGCCCTATAGTAGGGGCCTACGCACTGCCTTGTTCTGATACCAAGAGACAAAACGACCTGTCCTTGAGCAATTGCCCAAATAGCACTTGGGTTGTATTCTTAATATGGCACGGATGTATGGCGATTCGCCCCCCTACTGTCATCTTCGGACACGTACCGCGTGGTAGTGAAAGTGCGTAATTGCATTATGAGAATGCATAACGAAACGGTCTACGCGGTTGATTGCACCCAAACGAACAATGTTGGTAACCTTGGCCAATAATTATATATACCCTTCATTGTGACGAAGACGTAACACTTGCTATTCTAGTCAGCGCCAAAAGACGCACGCATGCGCACAGTAACGTACACGCACAAGCACACGCACACGCCGAAGGAGGAGGAGAAAGTTCATTTTTAAATTATCACTAAGGCATTTGGCGTAGAATTACACGCGCGATTTTGTACTTTCACTTTCTCATCTGTGATCTCCGGTGCGTTCCGCGAATCGACAACGCCACGATTTATCATACACAATGGCGGACTGGGTCAGTATGCCAGCGCGGGCAGATTCTGTTTAAGCTGTTGCTCTCACGGATCCCGCTTCGTAGTTTAACTGTTAGACAATTAATTTACTTCCATTTCACATTTTAAATAGGAAATTTCTACTGAACGTGAAGTCAACTATTTATGAACATTTCGTGTTTGCAGAATGGGCATCAGGTTGCTTACCTGCATTTCAGTGCAAAATCGATAGAGTAGGCGTGATGGCCTGAATTGGGCTTTTTTTGTGGAAAATAGTATCTGGCGAAGAGTGACATCTTGCATTGCACTATATATTGTGCTATGTACTATGTATTCTATTATATAGAAAAACGCGGTAGCCTCGTTTAAACGTGTGGCATATAGCGATTGTGTTATATTTTGCACTACGGGAAACGTGGCGGCACCCGAACAACAATACTGCATAACAAACCCGCCGTAACATACAAAAATAGCATTACGTTCTCATGGAAATAGTGCAATAGCATAATTCCGTGTTGACGATGACTATCCATTGTACTGCATGATTCAAAGAAAATGTGTTATAGCTAGCATTATACTGCGGGATATAAAGGAGAAGAAGAATTGGATTGAATGCATTTAATTTAGTACAACACCTGATTTATAGAGACGGCGCCACGGTTTATATTATACGGATCACAATGATTTATTGCGAAAATGTGATACCTTGCATCGCGCGGTGCATTCTAGGAGGAACAGAGAATACGCCATGTCCAAACTGCATGCAGCGCCCCCTTCGCACACTCAGGATACCACTGCCACAATGCTAGCACTATTTTTCAAATGGGCGGAGCTCTGGGGAAATCCAGCAAATGGCAATCCAACGGCCGCGAAGTCGCCGCCAAACAAAACATTAGAAATTTCTATGATTTGCATGTTTGTTGGTGGACAAATTTAGATGTTTTAAGCTGAATACGCAAAAACACATCGAAGACAATGTTTGAGAATTAGGTATATTGGCAAGCATCCGAAAAATTCATGATAAATATTAAATAAACACGTGAACTTAAGTCGCGTTCACACGGTCATGATTTGCCTCGAGCCAAATGGGCTAGATTTGGCTCGGGCCGGTTTGAGTCGGCGCGTTCACACGTACGCAAGTGAATACTGTCTGTCAAATTCAAATTCAAAGTAAAATAAATATTATTGCACGAATATCTCACAGATACTTTGGCAGTATGTCGCGAGATGGCGTTGTTTACTATTTAGAGTGTTTACTTACGTTCCGAGTTTCATTATCATTCTTGAAAACGTGCATCCTGGTCAAATTTTTCGAATTTTTATACTGTTTTGGATTTCGTCGAAGTACACGTTTGACACACGCGGCATCTACCGCTCAACCGATTCTACCTCTCTACCGCTCGCCGAAAGCTGGTGCTAAAATTTGGCTCGGGCCTGGTCCGACGTTTTCGATGGGGCCAAATCTGGCTCGGGCCTAATTAGGCTCGGGCCAAAAACGTCCGTGTGAACGCTCGGCTCGAGCCAAATCTGGCACGGGCCTAATTAGGCTCGGGCCAAAAACGTCCGCGTGAACGCGCCTTTAGTTTAGTAAACAGCGTAATGATTTTTAAGTAGTAAATAGGCGCACTATTTCGTATCACTATTTTATCAAATTTCTCATAAAATAATGGTCGGATTTTTAATATCTTTTGCAACTTTTATTAGTACAAATCTTATTACATAGGATACGAGTAACCTGGCCGCTGTAAAACTTGTGGTAAAAAAGCGTTACAAATTGTAACCGAAAATCTACTTGTGGCAGTGGTAGATTGAGCCAATGAGCGAGAGCGCCATCTGTCGTGGAGTTTGCGCCATGTCATGTCGTCAGTGTTGCAAGTCATGTTGTCCGTGTTCGTTGAGGTTATGGAGCATATAGACGTCATTGCAACGATGCATGTAAACATTATACGTTATATAGACGGTACCGATGGTAAATAACAGCAACAACAGCAACATAAGCAACAGTAAAAATCATCATTATAAGCAACAGTATCATCATCATTATCATCAAGAACAAATACGACAACAACACTGATACAAAATCTTCACGAAAGGAACGACACGCACGAACTGCGAACAACAGAAGCTAACAATACAAACTGTGGTATTTAGTCGCTGGTCAGCTAGTATAGATGTATTGATTGACGTCCTCGTAAAAATGTCGGCAAACATATTTCCCACGCGCGGCCGGCATTGTGTGCGTTCGTCCACGCGGCGCTGATACCACTGCGTTGGTGTCAGGGTGACAACTCCTGATAGTTAGTCTGATAGAAAGCTTAGAACTGGTGTGACAGCGTAAGCATGTGGTCACGAACTCACGAACTTAGACATTGCTGTCTTGCAACAGCGCCGTGCAAGAAAAATTTGCGCTTATCGGTTCAATCAGTAGGTCAAGTGCCAACTAAGAGCAGAAGTGAAGGGCTTTGCTGTTAGTGCTCTCATTATAACGTAAATTCCTGAAAGCACACCTGGTAGGAATGTTTTTTGATGTTACAAATCGCGACTGATTTGACTTTTTATCAAAATGAAAAATAATTTATCTGTCCTGCATTTTATTTGAAATGAAACTGCAAACTAAGGAATTTCCTACACTGATCAAATCATTCATGGCAAATAGGAATTCTGACAATTAAGTCTTTATATCGCATCTTTTTGCAAATATAATTGAGTCTGATTTACACACTTAAAATAATTTATCATGATGTGCAAAATTATGAAGCGTTTTGTGTGTATATATATGCGTGTGTGCGTGCGCGCGTGCGTGCGCGCGTGACAATCTTGAGTGGTCGACTGGGTGTGGTAATAGAACAGTAAAACATTTTCTTTTTTTACTTTCCTGAAATCCTTATTTTGTTATGGCACGCGGCCGGTACTCACAATGGACCCTATGTGCGTTATTGAGAATTTGAGACGGAAAAAACAGCTATAATACTTAAAATAAAGTATAATAATTAGTAGTTTGGTTTGGCGTGTGTAAATGCCATTATGTACAGCGTGTTTGGGCGTTAGCACTGTCAGAACAACGCCCCGAATATATGCATCATGTATTGAGCAAGTAACAAGTACTCTCTGTATTCTCAGTGGTTTACCACCGTCGTTATATCGTTAGCGTAGAAATAGAAAATGTGTAAATAAGTGGAATTTCTTTACGTTACAGGTGCACCACTGTCCACCGTGGATGACCCGCTGTATTATAATGAAAGGATCAGCTGGTTGGGCCGTACGTATACAAAATATATGCTATATCTTATAGGAATTGCCAGACGATTCATAGATACGGTCGTAAGCTTTATGGTCGCAATAATAATCGCGTACTAAACGACGACACATAGCTGACATTTTATCAAAAATAACGCCTACACGCGCGCTCGCTGTCTGTGGTATTTATTACACGCCCCATACATATGTGTAAAAATGTAAACTGTAAAATGTGTTTCTGACTCGCCTGCTAAAGCATAACGCACACACCCGAGCAAAACACCTGAACGTGGAGCAAAACGTGTTTCGCTCGATGTTCGTGGCTGTGTGCGGATTCCCGAAACAAAAAACATTGCTCAGCTGAGCGTGTTTCGCTGAACAAGCAATGTTTGATTCGCGGAGCGTGTTTTCGCCTGAGCGTACGTTTTGTTCGGGTGTGTGCGTCAATCGTTCTGCTACACAGTGAAACGCCACAGACTGTCTCCAATCAATATCCTTAAAAATATCACATGGCACACAAAATTGGATGTCTATTGGATGGCTATTTTTGATGTCATGTGACAGCGGCGCTGTATGCAGTGTTTCTGTATGTTTTGCTCAGCTGTGTGCTGTGTCGGGTGGCGTGTGTGCGCTTGCTCGCCGAGCAGAACGCGAAACGCTGGAAAACAAAATTTTCAGTTTTGCTCGGGTGTGTGCGCTATAGGCTTAACCGTCTATTCACCGTCCGTCTACCTATTGTGTTTTGCTACATTTTTAGCAACATATATGTTGTTTTACATAATATGCATTATTATGTGATAGTATGTATGTGTCGATGTATGTATATTTAATCACTAGCCAGCCCGTAACGCGATCATGTGGGAATCGCCGACAGTAGAACAGTACAATAATGTCAAAATTCGTAGTTTTCTTTACGAAAATGGTAGATCAGTGCGGGAATCTATATCAGCATGCAAAAGTACGACGGTTACTAGACATGGGGTTATGTTAAGCGCCAGGTGGTTTATGGTAGGTGGGCTAGGACATGGCGGGCGTCAGGCGTTGCGAGGTGTCGGGCGCTATGGTAGGCGTTGAGTTATGGTAAGCATGCCGACGGCGTAATAAGCTGATCACGAGCGCACGTGCCGACGAGAGGATACGGATGTCCGACCGTCCGACCGTAACCACCAGTGTCTTGTCGTGACATGCATTGCGCAATGCCACCATACCTAGCATTTCCCACGACACTGATGGCACTTAATTGCGGTCGTTTCCCTGTGCCAGGTGCAGATTCGGTAAAAACGGAAGCACACGCCAACGCAAACGCTCACGCACATTCGCACGAACATTCACGTGTACGGGCACACACACACACACACACACACACACACACACACACACACACACACACGGCACATACTCGCACGCGTATGCAGCACGCACACACAATGATCACACACACAGCTGTCCCCAGCACACACACACAACACACAGCTACACACGCACACACACACACGCACACGCACACGCACACGCAACACGCAACACGCACACGCAGCGGCACGCACGCACACCACCAACCACACACACACACACCCACACACACACACACACACACGCACATACACAAACGCACACACTCGTTCATAAACAACCGCTACTCAGATACGCGCACGCCCACAGGCACTTGGAGCGCTTCAATAAAATTTAATGCTAAATAAATACGAAATCTATTTTTACTACCAAAGTCTGAATGTTTCTATACTCTCTTTCACCTATTATTGCCGACAATTTCCTGTAAATGCCGTCCAAATGCTCATCTACAACAAACACTGGCTGCCGCCATTGCTGCCGCTGCACACTGACACATAAATATAAATACATATTATATAAATATATAAACATATATATTTATGTGTCAGTGTGCAGCGGCAGCAATGGCGGCAGCCAGTGTTTGTTGTAGATGAGTATTTGGACGGTATTTACAGGAAATTGTCGGCAATAATAGGTGAAAGAGAGTATAGAAACATTAAGACTGGTAGTAAATAGATTTCGTATTTATTTAGCATTATATTTTATTGAAACGCTCCAAGTGCCTGTGCGCACGCCCACGTATGCACGTACACACAAGTATATATTGTTCTAAACCCGTAAAAAATCAAACGAGAAAAGAAACGCTTTCGTGCCTGCTCCAATTTAAGTCATCTAAGTGAGTATAGCAGACTGTCCGAATGTGAATGTGCCACTGTTCGCTCGCGTCGAAGGTCAATTGCGAAAATTCCTTATCTAATCGCAAGCAGCGATCAGATAAGGATATACGAATTCCGTAACCGGTGAATCGGTAACCGGTAATTCGGACAACCGATAAAGATAGTATCAGGAGAGTATGCTACACCGATATATGGCGCAACTCTATGCTCACTAGTGGAGCCAAACAATCGGATAAAATATCTTAGATGATGACCTTGCTTAATAATCAGGTCATATTTGCAGAATAAACGGTTACATAATTGCTTTAATCATGGGGGTGCGCATCCTGTCTGTCGATACGGGCGAGATAATGCCACCACAATAATCGTACAAACGGCGCCGTCGATTAGAATAAAGTACAAATTACGTGGCGAGCAAATCGGAATTCGTAATAAATTTCCATCGCGCCTAACCCGATAACCTTTGTTTTATTTCAACGCAACGCATTTAAAGCTAGAAAATTCTGGTAAGTTTCGATCGATTTCCTCTTGAATTGCGTTAAAATGGAATCAGGTTAGCTCCATCACATCAGACGCGCAAAGTGCGGAGAGAACAAGAGAGATGATAAGATTAGCGTGCTATATAGTACCAAGAGCGTATTAAGAAGGAGAGCGTGCTGCCATGCTGAGGAACCATGCTGAAGTATTAGTCGAATTAATAAACTTTGCCCGTTTTATTTTGACGATTCTTTGTGGTATTATTGATCAGCTGTCCTACCTTGCTAATATAAAGCAAACCGCTTGTCCCTACGATGCCTCTACGCTGAGATAATGAGCGGTGAAAATCTGGTATTTTCGCCGAAACCCGACTCGAGATACCTAGTGGCTGCGACTGCCTCTCGTTCTGGCGATAGCTTCGGGTAACCTCGCGTGTTTCCGTCATTCATTGACAATACAATTTATTTTCCTTCTACTATCTTTTCTCGCATTTCCAGTCATTGACGCAGCCATTACTCCACAAAAACGTCTTGTTATTTATCGCCATGGTGATGACCCGCCCCTTACGCTGGATGTAGTAACGCTGTAGTAATAACGTATCGAGTCAGCGCTACACAGCGGCGACCGGAAGCAACATACAGTTCACAAAACGAGAGACAGTCGCAGTAAAAATGATCACGAGTCGGTTTTCGGCGAAAATACCAGATTTTCACCGCTCATTATCTCAGCGTAGAGGCATCGTAGGGACATGCGGGTTATTTTATATTAACAAGGTAGGACAGCTGATCAATAATACTGCAAAGAATCGTCAAAATAAAACGGGAAAAGTTTATTAATTCGACTAATACTGCAACATAGTTTCAGCATTTCACCGTTGTACGCCCTTCTTTTTTATACGCTCTTGATAGTACGTGGGCGTAGCGGAAAAGCCTCTGGGCGAACCGTACTAGCCTGCGCCGGCATCTTACAGAAAGTTACAGTAATTCCATAAGCATGATGTATACTGGCACGTTTACAACGCAATCAACCTTCAGTAGTCGCCTACTGACCCGCGCGTATCGGATCGCCTCAACTACACATCTATCTCAAATGCAACGCTCTTACCACTTAAAATAACGTGACATTAAATATATGATGACAGCGATGGATACACTCGGGTGTCAGTTTAAAACGTATAGTTACTCCCTGGAAGGGCTAAAAATAATAATTACTGGCCTCAGGATTCCAGTCATTCTTCACGACATGTCGCTTTTGCTTTGTTTTTGTGAGGACACTGCAGAAACCCTAGTTATTCGATTCGTGCCTCCCAGAAATACATACAGCAGCACAGTCATTCACGCCCCCTGGTGGCAAGAACAATTTTCCCCACGATGACGTCTGCGAGACCGCACAGGGGTTTTGCCTTTACTGGCTAGATAAAATTGAGAAAATATGCTATGAAATATTTACCTGCTGGTCATCGCAAAATTCCACCTTTATAATATCAGTACTTATATGTTCGTATATGTATAGTAATAGTATAGTGTTTCGTACACGTAATTCGCTAAACGTGCACTCATCCTATAATTACCTCCGCCAGGGGCGTGGCGGAGGTTATGTTTTTACCGCACTCGGCAGTTAGATGCGATATTGTATGACTACTAGGCACTTTAATTTAATTTAATTTTTTTTAAATAAAAAAAAGTTAGGGTTAGGGTTAGGTTAGGGTTAGGGTTTAGGTTAGGTTAGGGTTAGGGTAGGGGTTTTTTTTTTTTTAAGTGCCTAGTAGTCATATCCTAAGTGCCTAGTAGTCATACAATATCGCATCTAACTGCCGGGTGCGTTTTTACCGGCGTGCCATTGAGTGTTGGTTTGTGTGTGTGTGTGTTACCATGCACGTTACAGTTCACTTCCGCTTGGTGCGCTGGCTGTAGACTTACAAACACAGGCTAAGGGGCAACCACAGTCCTCCCCCACCTGCACGCTCGCACTAATCCGGATCCAATTAATTATTTAATTAATTAATTAATTAATTAATTTTTCCACTTAATTAATTAATTAATAAAAAATTTCACATTGAGAGAATTCAGCTGCCTTGGCGGAGGTCTGTGCTCTCCGAGTGCTCTAGTTGATTATTCTTTTATTGTTTCGCGCTTTAGTGATTTTTCTGAACAAATTATATACATGATAAAATTTACGATATATAGTAGTATTGATTATTAATACTCGAGGATAAGACCATTGAACGACTCGTACATAAAAAATTTATCGTATTCTATAATATTATGCTATTCTAAATCATACGCGAAATTTAATATTTGCAAACAAGTTGCACTCACTTTAAATACCAGGCAAAGTCTTACCTATTAGTAGCCAGAGGCGAATTAATTCATATGTAAAAAACAAAGAGCTAACTGTTTTTCGAACCAGTATTCGAGACATATGTTTATTTGGATATCAACCGTCGCTATACGTTCCCATGCCCTTCATTGTCGTAATGCCCGCACAGATGAGCAATTAGAAGCAGTAGAGAAAAGTTAAGGTTGATAAAAGAAGCGTAATCTATCTGAGAACATTTATGTTTAGTTTCGTCTTCTTCCCAGTCCAAATGACAAGTTTCCGACTAACAGATGTTACGAAGGCCATGCCCTCGCCGTTGTTTGTGCTAACCCTAACCCTAACCCTTAATGTAGCCGTTGTCTAGTGCACCAGGTAAAGCCGTGTATTTAGAGAAAATATTTATGCTTGTGTTAGTAAGTTCGTAGTAGATCTTCATAGTCAGTTCGTTAGAAGCTAGAGAATGCGTGTTATTTACCCAAACGTTGGGAATCGTGTATGATTACGCATAAAACGTTAAAATTGTCTAAAAGTAAGTTGGTATCCAAGCAACGTTTAGAAAGAAGAATTTTAGGCCTAAGGCCAATAATCATTGTTCATCCACCACCTCAATTACTATTATTAGATAGAAGGATTGTCCCCGTGACAACACAGAGAGGATACAAAGATGCAGGGGCAATCGATTAAAACCTTCATGACTTTTTTTAGTAAAAATCTAGGCCAGAGTTGTTGTTAAAAAATCATACAAGTCTGTTCTTGAACAAGAACGGTTCAATGAAATTCGTATACTGCTAAAGGTTAGCTTTGGCTTTATCGTTGTTAATTTGATCAGTTGTGGACATCTGGGGCAACAGCAGCCATGATTGATGATCGATCGAAGGTCAGACAAGCTTGTCTGAATAGAGGACCGAATAGGTCAAAAGACGTTACGAATGGGTCGTAAAGAATAACTTAACTGGCACCTTCGAAAACGAGACGTCTTCTTTCAGTCCGGACCGGTTATATACTAAGCAGTAGGACCCGTCGGTGTCTCCCCAATGTCACATCACAAAAGGAATGTGACCGTCCTCAAACGAAGCCCGGCCTGAGGATAGAATGCAATGTACGCCATTGGTTACGGGTGCAGCAGTAGCGCTTTCTACGGTGACTGCTAAGCACCGCTATAACGCGACGACTGCAATTAACCTACACTCCGAAGGACGCGTTTATAGCTGTCATCAATTCTGCCCAGTGTTCAGCTGCTAAAATTGCATTCTGTCTAGACTGACACACTGACACAAAAACAGGACCGCAGCGCATTGGATGAATCCCGTTCTTTGTTCGTTTAATTTTTATCGACCGCGAATCGTGGGGGAAGAGCGGCACCTAATTAACCCACCACCTTTCTACGGAGTTCTAACCATTACATGGGGGCGCCGTTTACATTCAAATTAGAGAGAACTGTGTGGCTATTGTCAAGGAACCGTTTTCTTCCCCAGCGCCGCGACCACATAAAGATTCACCGCCCATTTAATTAAGTTATTTTGTAGCCGTAGGCTTTTAAGTGTGAGCGACTGGTAACATTGAACGTTACTTACCCAACCGTTGTGCGAAACGCATTGGTGTAATAACAATAATTATTACTTGTAAAACAGTAAATTATAATAGGTATATAGTCAGCAAATGGTTTCGGTAGCGTTATCGTCCTTGCTAACGAAACTAACCTCGCAACGTAATGGACCGATAACTGGCGCTCTCACTTTATGGCGAAACTAAGGTATACTGAATTGTCTTAATAAATTTTGTATTGTGTATAATTAAAGTATTTCGCGTAAATACGTAAACACGTCTCATGCGTAGTAATAGTAGTAGTAGTGGAATATATTAACAAACGAGTGTGCTAGCCAATGCTTCGTGTCAAAAGCAGAAATAAGTATACGCATAGTTGTCCAACGTCATTACGTTGTTTAGTATAATTTATTTCCGTTGCAGTTGAAGACGTAAAGACTGGCTATAAGGCAGCGCTAGTCAAAGGCCTGCCTTACCCAATTCTCACTGTAGCAGAGTATTTCAGCGTGGATCACGAGGGCTTTATTTGGGGAAGGTGTTATAGATCCGCTGGCTACTACTCCTACATGCTACTCTGGTACGTATTTATTATTATTATTATTATTATTATTGTTATTATTATTTATTTATTTAACCACAGTATGTGCGATATTAGTACATCGTGAGATGTTACAGTAAAGTGCGCTGGCGGTGTATCATCTGATGGCTCGCGGAAAAGCGCCTTTTGCCGAGAGTGCAGCTTTACGTGTTTCATGGAAATTACATTAGCAAGTACTGCAGCGTTATGATAGTACTCAAAAGACGTAACGCTACAGCCGTAGCATTTGGTTTTTGTCCGTGGCTAGACTTCCGACAGCCATCTTGAGTAGAGTGTACTTTGAGGTTGCTATCAGAATTTGTGTTTGGGGGATGGTTGTTATGTCGTATATAAGCGATCTGAAAAGAATTGAAAGTGACGAAACAAATTCCTTCCTCACTGCTGTCTCTTCTTCTCTCCATCTCTCCCGCTTCGCTCCCTCCCTCCCTCCCTCCCACCTCACTCCCCTCTCCCTCCTTTCTTCCTCCTTCTTAACCCACATCCTTCCTTCGGTTCCTCTCTCCTACCCTGACTCACCGTCTCCCTTTTGCGCGCGCTCTATCTCTCTCTCTCTTTCTCTCGATCTGTCTCTCTCTGTCTCTCTCTCTCTCTCTCTCTAGAACTACGTCCGAACGACGACACGACGGGAGGTAG